CTGAGAGCTCTCAAGTTTACCTACGCAGCTTTACCTTATTTGCTCTGAACTTTACCTACGCAGCTTTACCTTATTTGCTCTCAGCTTTACCTAAACAGCTTCATAAATGAGGAAGTCCAATACTGGAGGAGGGCTTTTATAAAGCAATTTCCACGGTCTTGATTTCAAATTTCTTGAGACAGTAACAGTAAAAGTGGTATAACTTACCCATCCCTATCGTCATATAAGAATAGCCCCATCGTATGTCACAACTTCTTTCCCAATTTTCTAATCAATTAAAAAAAGACGGAGGAGACAAGTGAACTGCGAAAAGGACATATTGCCGTTATCAGGAAAATTGTGTTGCAGGGAAACTTTTCAAAAATAGCTGCCCCGGAAGGCAGGAGAACAAAAACCCGTTTTAAAAACATATAAAAACTAGACTGGAATGCACCAGGCTTACCCGTGCGGTCGTGCGTTTTTATACTAAATTTGAAGCAGTCAGATCGTTAATTGTTTGAATGGTTGCTGCTTTACGCTTGCTTTGTGCGCTTACTAGCGTCAATCATCATAAACTTCATATAAAGGAAAATGAACAATTTCCGTTTAACTGTCATTCTTTGAAAATGACCTAACTGTTCAATGAATAGTTTTTCCGCCAGAACTTTTAAGTGCCTGTACGTAAGAACCGTGCATACTTGCGGGCGAAATTTGAAATCTTTAAGTTGTACTTGGATAAGGAACATTCCGTTAAAATTCCAGCCAGCTTTTGTAGTTCCCGAGTTAGCAATTTTTCTACCAAAAATTTTCATCTGCCCGTACTTAAGGGGTCTAAATTTGAAATCTTTAAGTTGTACATGCACGGGGAACATCTCTTTGAAATTTCAGTTCGCCAGCTTTTCTGGTTCCCGAGCTAGCAGTTTTCCGCTAAATTGGTTACCGAGTTGAAATACCCGGAAGACGCACACACATCCACACATGCACGCACACACACACACACACACACACACACACACGTGCACACGTACACACACATCGTGGGTCACAATATGCGTTTTTGCATTTCCATACGTGCAAAAATGCATGAAAATAAAAGTTTAGCTAGAAAAAAATGTTTCGATCCATGAAGTCGTATAAATTTCTTGTATTTATTTCGAACGTTTTCACTTTTCGATCAAAATGAGGTAGTTTCCAGCCTAGAAACCCATGTTTTACAGGGGATAAATAAAAAGTGAAGGATTTTGACTAGCGATTTTTGCATTATCAGTTAAACTGCCAAAAATTCAGGTTGGAACGCATCACACTTGCCGTGCGATCATACGTTTTTGCACCAAACTTGAAGTAATCAGGTCATTAACTGCATAAATGGTTGCTGCTTTATACTTGCCTTGTGCGCTCACTACCGTAAATCATCGTCAATTTTGCATAAATAAAAATAAATGTGTGGGCGGATTAAAATATTCTGTATGAAACTTTGCAGGGAAATATATTCTATACACGTGCAAGCCAAAGTTTTAAACTCAGCTGTCGAGCACGCTTGTGAAGCGCGTACGATCATGCCAAAGTTTGTGACTTGCTACTATGCTAACTCAAAAACTTGCCTCAAAATTTTAAGCGGCGCGCATTCCAGAGGTTGGGATTGAGATGACCAATGAGACAGTGGTGTGGACGGATTCGATGCGTGAAGTGCTGATCAAATCGGTGCAACGGCAGGAGTGCATTTGGAATTTCTCGAATGCCGATTATCGAAATGCGGCCAAAAAACGCCAGATTTTCTGGGATATTGCCGAAGAGATGTCCGCGATTTTTGGTATCCCACTCAAAGGTCACTACTACTACTTCTTTCATCATTGGAGAGGGGGGCATCCCTTCCTCCAGGGGCTTTG